TTAGTCTATCCTCGCATCAAAGTGTCACTACTGAGTAGTCGTTGTTTTGCCAATTAACGACATATTTGGCATTTCTTTATCATCTGATCCTTTAGTTGTGGCATGTTCATAGTTCCCATCTAGAAACATCAGTGGGTCGAGTCTTCTCTCAATCAGTGACTCCATGATATACCAATGTTGTAGTATCTCATCCCAAGTGAGCACCTCACGACTCTTCATAGGCTCCTAGTTATCGACCTGGAGATCAAGAGGAGTAGGAGGAAGAGGGCGGGGTGCAAGGAACCTAAGATCAAGTGGGGTAACTTGACCAAGGACAAATCTCAGGAGTTAGGGGAGAAGTTGTTGGCTATGAGGGCCTGGATGAGTAGAGGGAACGCATCTAGTATGTGGTTTACGACTGCGAATTGCATTAGGGTAGCTGCTAGAGAAGTCTTAAGGGTCACGAAGGGCTCTCCTGTGGGTCATAAAGGGGACTGGTGGTGGAATGGAGAGGTTCAAGGTAAAGTGGAAGTTAAGAAAGCTGCTTATTTGAAGCTAGTGGAGAGTACAAACGAGGAGGAAAAAAGGTCTTATCGGGAGTGTTACAGAAAGGCAAAGAAAGAGGCGAAGTTGGCGGTTACGACGGCTAAGAACGCGGCGTTTGCTCGTTTGTACGAGGAGCTCGAGGGCAAAGGCGGGGACAAGAGGTTGTACCGGTTGGCCAAGGTGAGGGAGAAGAAAGCCCGCGACTTAGACCAAGTCAAGTGCATCAAGGACGAGGATGGCAAAGTGTTGATAGACGAGGCACATATTAGGAGACGATGGCAGTCATACTTCCATAAACTGTTGAATGAGGAGGGGGATAGACACATTGTGCTGGGAGAGTTGGAGCACTCTGAGAGTCAGCGAGATTTTGGGTATTGTAGGCGGATAACGGTAGGGGAGGTGGACGGGGCGATGCGTAAGATGTGCAGGGGCAGAGCGACGGGGCCAGACGAAATTCCGGTGGAATTCTGGAAAAGCGCGGGGCGGGCAGGTTTGGAGTGGCTCACTAGCCTATTTAATGTTATTTTTAAGACAAAGAAGATGCCCGAAGAATGGAGGTGGAGTACGATGGTTCCGCTGTATAAGAACAAGGGTGATATCCAAAATTGCAACAACTATAGGGGTATCAAGTTGTTGAGTCACACTATGAAGGTTGGGAGAGGGTGGTGGAGGCCAGGGTGAGGAGGTGCGTGTCTATTTCCGAGAATCAGTTTGGATTCATGCCGGGGCGTTCGACTACGGAAGCGATTCATCTGGTAAGGAGATTAGTGGAGCAGTACAGGAAGAGGAAGAAGGATTTGCATATGGTGTTTATTGACCTTGAGAAAGCATACGATAAAGTACCGAGGGAGGTCCTATGGAGGTGTTTGGAGGTTAGTGGCGTTCCGGTGGCGTACATTAGGGTGATTACGGACATGTATGATGATGCTAAGACTCTGGTGAGGACTGTGGGGGGTGACTCGGTGCATTTCCCTGTGGTGATGGGGTTGCACCAGGGATCGGCTCTTAGCCCATTTTTATTTTCCTTGGCGATGGATGTACTGTCGCGACACATCCAAGGGGAGGTGCCTTGGTGCATGCTATTTGCCGATGATATAGTGTTGATTGACGAGACGCGTAGTGGAGTTAACGCGAGGTTGGAGAGTCTAAAGGTTTCAAACTGAGTAGAACCAAGACAGAATACTTGGAGTGCAAATTCAGTGACGGGACCCATGATGCAGATGTAGAGGTTAAGCTTGATACTCAAGTTATCCCCAAGAGAGCGAGTTTTAAGTACCTCGGGTCTATTATCCAGGGTAACGGGGAGATTGACGAAGATGTCGCACATCGCATCGGAGCGGGATGGATGAAGTGGAGGCTCGCTTCCGGTGTTTTGTGTGATAGGAATGTGCCGCTAAGACTTAAGGGTAAGTTTTATCGAGCGGTGGTTCGACCGGCTATGCTGTATGGGGCTGAGTGTTGGCCAGTCAAGAACTCCCATATGCAGAAGATGAGAGTAGCAGAGATGAGGATGTTGAGATGGATGTGTGGGTGTACCAGGAGAGATAGGATTAAGAATGAAGCTATCCGGGAAAGAGTGGGAGTAGCCTCTGTGGAGGACAAGATGCGGGAGTCGAGGCTGAGATGGTTCGGACATGTTAAGAGAAGAAGCATTGATGCTCCTGTCAGGAGGTGTGAGAGGTTGGCTATGGAGAGTTTGAGAAGAGGTCGAGGTAGGCCTAAGAAGTACTGGGGAGAGGTGATTAGACACGATATGGCGCTGCTTCAGCTCACTGAGGACATGACCCTTGATAGGAGGTTGTGGAGGTCGATGATTAAGGTAGAAGGTTAGTAGGTAGTTTATAGTTGTTCACTGTTAGTCTTAGTAGCACGCATGTCCCTTCATATTCTTAGATTTCTATTACATTAGGTTGTTGTGTTTGTCTCAGGTATTGTATTCCCTGCTGCTATTATTTGGTACTACTTATCCTTTATCTTCCCCCCCCCCCCCCCTTTTTTTCACTTCTTCTTGTCCTTCCTGAGCCGAGGGTCTATTGGAAACAGCCTCTCTACCTCCATTAGGTAGGGGTAAGGTCTGCGTACAAACTACCCTCCCCAGATCCCACCTGTTGGGATCAAATTGGGTTTTTTGTTGTTGTTGTAGTATCTCTTGATTTTATACATACCTCTAAGAGCACTGCATAAAGTTGTAGATCATAGACAACTTTCTCGGTCAGCAATTGTAACCCCATTTTTCTCGCCTGTGATTTGCAATATAGCTTCTACTCGAGTATTATAGTTCCACGCTTCAGTTAACTCAATTAAGTTGCGGCTCATCTTTTTAGTAAACCCAACTAATCTTTCCATAGAAGAGGCAACACAACAATCTGGACCAAGAGAGTGAAAATGACACAGCGGGGAAAACAATTGGTCCTTATAGATAGAAATAAGAAGTTCCCAAATTGCACAGACTACAGCTAACCTTCATGATAGACAAAGAGATAGTATAATAATAATTTTAAGATGTTAATGAACATAGTTCCATGCTTATTAATTATAGTAGGAGTAGAACTTTATTGATAACCAATTCACACTAAGCACAATAAGAAACACATGCAACAGTCAACTTGTGAGAATACGTTAAGAGAAAAAAAGTCAATTGCCACTCACCGGCGAAGGCAATAATGCTGGATCCTCGTACGTTTGATATCTTCTTTAGCCCCCATTGTTGTGAGGAAGCTTGGAGGCAAAACATAGAAGAACCTTATGCAATTTGAGATTACAGATGAAAATTCAGCCTGGTTTAGGATTATGGTTGTGATAATGATAATGAATGGTCAGCATATACAAGATTAGCAGGTTTTTTTGTTTGGTATTGTTAGGTATTTTTAATAGTTTTTACAACTTATGGGTACAAGTCACATTTCATGTTCTTCTTCTAAAAAGAAGATGTGAAATATGGTTTTGAAAAGTTATGTCTAAAAGATTTTCATCTTCAAACCAAACTTCACCCAAATCAAATTTTTTAAAACAAATTTAGAAATCTATGACCAAACACTAGCTTAATATCTTTCCACTCGTGTGATTTATATTTTCTTTGTCTTTGCTTAGTTTCTTTTACGCTTGATAGATATATACTCTGGCCATCTTTTATGTTTTCTTAATTCATCACCCTTTAAATAGTAAAAATATCTAGAAAGTTTTGGTAAGTCCAAAAAGTCCGTAGTTATTGCATTCTGCTTCTGCTAGTAACTTTTAAATGACATTTAAATAAAATACGAAAAATTAACTGAACTGTACTGATACTGAAGAGAAACCGACATGATTGTTCTAGTTTCTAAAAGTCTAATTTTGGTTATACATAATAGAATAATCAAAAAATTAGTATGATACAAATTTTATAAACGACAGAACCTAACCATTGAGACCCCCCACTGGCTATCCATCAAACTATAAATTTTTGCTCTTTTCTCTAGTAAGAATGTAGGATGGATAGTGAAATAGGAGAATCCATTTAGACACTCGAGATATATAGATCTCAATATAACTAGTTTCAACTATATATAAATGTCGCTTGTTATTCTCTTTATTGATCATAGCTTTCCGCCTCTAATTGAAAGAAATGAATTACTATGCTCTCTGAGCTATAGTCATGACGGTGGCATTCTACCAGTTATTTGTAATTTCAAAAGAGCTGTCTAAGTTTTTAACAGAGTGCCTTAAGTGTAGTTCGAAAAACAAGTTCCAGAAATATTTCAAGTACTCTTAGTTCTCAACCTCAAAACTTAAGATATCATATAAAAAGAAAAGCAAGGCTTAGCTAGAAGAAAAAGTAAGAGTTAACCGATTGCACAACGTGCATTTATTCTGCGGAAAATAAAAAACAGGCAGCAACTGACTCACACAATATTAAATTCTAATATTACTTAAAATTCAAGTATATAGCGACAATAAACTGCATAAGGAATCCAGGTGGATTCGAACCACCGTCCTCTCAATTGAATACAATTGAGCGCTCCCCCATAGGTCGAGCTCTTGGATCCATCAAAGCGATAGCTTAAGTTATCATAACACCATTAACAAACCGGACAAACTTATGTTGTTATAAAAAATAACATCTGGACAAATAATGCTTCTACTTGAAAGTTCCCATTGACACTCTCGACTCTATTCCGTTTCAAAAAATAATGGAACTTTCTACTATCAATATCTCTTAGACTTTGACTACTTTATTCTATTTTTAACATGATTTTCTACTTTTAATATCTCTAAACGATCTTATTTTACTTTTCACAGCATAAACTCGAAGTTACAAACAATATATGTTATAAGACTCCATAAATAAATTTTGTATGGGGCAAAAAATCTTTTACAACTTACAGAAGGTGCCGGAAAAGGATATAAACTACCTCGCCCAACTAAAGGCCACTATATAAAATAAAGTAGAAAGATGAGTAAACCAAAGAGCGTTCTACAAAGTGATCTACAAATTATCATTAGTTTGAATTTCCAAAAAAGCAAGTATTCCTTTTAATGCAAACATATAAAGAATCCACATTAATGGCTTACTTCAGTACACTTCTAATTTAATTTTATGATTTGGGCAAGAGAGTATAAAGTGCGGAAGAACTAAAACATCTCGCTGTAAGGAGAAAATTTTGCTGCTTTAAATAGTCAAAAAATTCAGCCACTGAAGACGAATAAGAATTTATCAAATTTATGTAACATTTCTCTATAAACATCCGTATGCTTTCTCTATCGACGTACGTAAACTAAAACATGACCATTTCCCCCTGTGAAAGAATTAGAATTTGGCAATTACAGGTGTAAGAGCAATATAACCTTTAGTAAATAACTAGTTAGTATATAATAAACTACCAACAATGGATATTAAGCAAGACATTACCTCAACAAACGATCAAGACAACATGTACCAGATGTCAATATTTCCTTGAAGTAATCTTCAGCAAAAAGAAATAAACTTCCACAACCTAGTGAATTAGCACAGCATGGCAAATTTTCTGAATACTCTCTACTACAGACAAAAGAAAATTCTCAAATTAGGCATGGTAAAAACCAGTTTTCTATCATCTACAAAAGTTGCAATATCCATTTCCTAAAAGATAGCAAAATATTAGATAGATCAAAGACACAAAATAAAAGTGGGAGACCCCCTAGTTATCAGGGTAGATTGCAATCAACATAAACTTTTGAACTTATAAAATGAGCCCTCTCGCTTCGGCAATACACCAAACAATCTGGACCAGCTGCATCAACTAAGGCGGCAACACTTTGAAAGTATTCGAACAAATAGAGAAGCCTCAATTTCAGACAGCTATTCCAACTGACAGTAATGACAGAGCAAATACAGCTGACACTCATGCTTACAAAAGTACCCAAGCGATGAATTATATCGAACTCGAAAAAGAAGCAAGAAATCAACATAGCCTAAATCAATTCAGCAGTAGAATATCACCTTTCCAGTGTAATTCAGCAGCATCCAAAGTTGGTTGATCACCTCAACAGAGGCAAATGGTTTTATTGATCTTCAACAAGTAGGGAGCAGCATCTCAAAGCCAGTGGAGAGAAAAGAATGACATTCTCTCCAATACTGAAACATATTTGAGAACATACATATTCATCCCTCCAATATTACAAAATACTGCACTCGACGAAACTTCCCATTGAAATACGCTATTACATTACAACAACAGAACATAAATTTTCCCACTAGTTTACCAATCAATAACTGACTATTGAATCTCTAACATGAGACAAACTAATAAATACTAGGACATAGAAACATTTGAATAAAAAGAGTTCCACTACACATTCTAATGACTTGGAAGTGAGGTAGCATTGGAAATCATGGAAATCTATACAAGAGATGTGGTAACGGATGATTCACATGGTTAATTAACAATATCGTTTTATAAGAACCAACTAGGAAGTATGTCGCACGCCTGTAGATCCAAGGGGACATATTTGCAAAACCTAATATTTTAAAAGCTAGTTTACCCATTCAAAAGCGTAAGTTATCTAAGTTGTTTACTGTTACCAAAAGTAGAAACATATTTTCTTGCAAAGGAGTTTATTATCATACCCCAGATAGAATAATAAACATTTTTTCACACAATATGATTCATTAAAGAGTATTTATTTTTAATAAGCATTTTATTAGCTCGTCTCGCTAACTTGGAATTAATAGTTAGATCTCATTTTTGACAAGTAGAACAATATTGCCATCATTGTCTAAGATGAGCATTAAAATTATAAGGACTGCTATTTCAAAAACTGACTCATGGAACGGCAATATGCTATATGCTAAGTTAAACGTAAAAGTTAGTGAAGGGAATTCGTTCTTGTACCTTTGATTGGAGTGCTGGAGCAGATTAATCCTAGCATTAGCCTGACTGATGTCAAATTTAAGAGATGTACGAGTCACTTGCCCTTGAATAAAAGACCACCATTCAAAGGGCAAGTAACCAGCAATCTGCTGTGACGTTCTTTGTGGTATTGATCTTGCGCATAATATCTAGGGAACAAGGAAGATAATAAAAGACAAGACAGGCACAAAGAGAGGAGCGCCAGGCAAAAACCCTGTGCCATCTCCTCTCCCAAAACAAAAAATAGAAACTTTATTGGGTATTGTGACCTGCCATGCGAGCGCACCCATCATGGCAAAGGTCGAAAACAACAACAAAAATCTCACGTCCTCTCTTTTTGTCTATGACAATATAACTAACTCGTACATATGCACGCGTATCAGAAAGGTTAATGTTCATCAATGATGCAGCTCATAATAGACAACAAATTAAATGATAAACCTTTTCTAACAACCACAACCTAGCCGATTACCAGCGGTTAACAGACCCACAGTTCAGACAGTTGGAGCACCAATCAGATCTGATTAGTCAAGCAGCTCTACAGAACAGATATGGTCAATTTGAGCCGCATGTAGAATCAAATCTGTAGCAAACAGAAACACCACACAGATGTCAATAAATAGAATTTGGTCCAAAACGGCAGATAAATGCAAAAAATAACAGAAACACATAGGCTCACCAACAAAACTCTAGCAGCAAACGATGAAACCTCCAATTTGAATAACCAGATTTGGTTGCTTTGGAACAACTAACAAGCAGACAAGAGCTAGTCTTCCAAATTATGAAGCTTTCATCAACTCACTTCTCAAAGTCAAACGGTTCGTAACAAAACCTCCGGCCCAACGATCGAAAAGCCGATACATGATGCAACTCGTAACCATACTCAAACTGTAGATCAGCGAACGATCTACACAGATCTGAATCCGGTATCAGAAGCAGAGAAATGATAAGGAACAGATCTGGAGAGAAGAGAAAGAACTGACGGCGGAGACGGAAGAGGTTGATAATGGGATGCAAGTTGATGAACAGATGATGTGTTATTTTATAGCGGGGTTTGGGTGATCGGACGGTTTGGATTGAATGAGCTGGTAGATGATAACGATTGAGATGCGTTGACTGATGAGTAGGGCTAAAGGCTGGCGATGAGTAGGTTACGGAAATATCTGGATGGCTATTGCTTGATTGAATATTGGCAAAAAAGCCTATGGACCATCTAAACTTGTACTCAATTATCACCCGGTAAATAAAATTATAAGTTTTTCATTTAAACATTTCAACTTGATGAATTGAGTACTAATAAATACCCCAGCTGAGCGTGTATCGCAATTGCTATGACGTGGTTGACACATTATTTTCTTAACCAACTACTATTTGACATGTGTAATTTGTAGGCCCGAGACTCTTTTAACCAATTTATTTTTAAAAAAATTAAAAGAATATTCTTTTCTTTCTTATTCACCATGACACTACCACCATCACATGTTTCATCCATTGTGGACACCGCCTTCGCCCACTCTAAAAAAAAATCTCTATCCCTCTCCAATCTAAAACTCTTACATTAACAAAAATTACTACTCCCTCCGTTTTAATTTAGATGAGTTAGTTTGATTCGGCATGGAGTTTAAGAAAAAAAGAAGACTTTTAAATTTGTGATCTTAAAAGCTTTAGAGGTAAAAGCTTTGTGGGACCATGACATTTGTGTAGTTATAAAAGTTTCTCGTTAAGGGTAAAATGAATTAATAAAGAGTTTAAAATTGAATTATTTCCAAATTTAGAAATGCGTCATTTATTTTGGAACAGATTAAAAAGGAAAATACATCATCTAATTTGAAACGGAAGTAGTAATTTCTTAAATGTTTTAATTGTTTTCTATTCCTTTTAACCATACCTGCTAGGATCGTGGAGGAGCTACGAGAAGGGGATGGAAGAACTAGAGGAGTTGTACGAGATGTATGGAAATTTAATAGATTCAATTCTCAAAATCCAAAAATTCAAATCAAACTATCTGCACCTAAGAGAAGAACAATTAATCCACCCCAGAAAAGTGACACTCAACAAAAATCATTCGTCATACATTTCACTTTTAACCACTGAAACAAATCAAAATCACAATCCCAAAAAATTCGAAAAAGTTGCGCAATTTTCATTATAAGAGAAAAATCTAACAGAGAAAATGAAGAAGATGATAAATTAAAGGGGAATCGGGCGAGGTGGAGGGTAAAGACTAACGGGGAACTGAAAGGGGCAAGAAAAGAGGGGGGTTCACGGAAAGAAAGTGACAGAATTTACTGTTTTCCTTTTTCTTTTTCGTCGTTTGTCTTTCTTTATTTTTGTAGTTTTAGTATTTCTTTTTGTGAAAACTACCAGATCACGCGCCATACAAGCGTGAATTGCACGTAGTTGGGCCAAAAATCAGCTATGCCATTATCACATAAGGATGGTCAATGATTAAAGTGGTTTATTAGTACTCAGTTTGTTAAGTTGAATTGTTCGAATGAGAAACTTCTAACTTAATTTATCGAATTGACAATTGGGTACAAGTTTAGGTGGCCCGAAAGCCATTTTGCCTTGAATATTATATTAAAAATTGTCGTTTTTTCACTAGGAAAGCTAATCTTCGTAATGTATTACAACATGCTTCACGCTTGCCTTTTCAAACTTAAAAAAAAATAAAATTAAACGTAGTACGTAATTTGTATTTCTAATTTATACTATTACGAAAATACAGAGATTTACATTAAAACATTTATCAACAAGGAGTAGAATCTTCAAAACAATTTGTGGGTACAGTTCCTATCTTCCCTTTTGTATGTCAATATTACCCTTTTTTCAAGCTCATAATTGAATATTTTTATTAATGTTATAAATAGAACTTTATTTATGGTAAATGTCCATATTTTAGAGAGATCTTAGGGTTTGTTACTTGGTGGCTAAGTCATTTTTTCCCTATAAATAGAGGGGTCATATTCCATTGTAATTCATCCCAAAAATCAATAAGAATTTTCTCTCTCTTTCTTTGCAATATTCTTTTTTGTTGTTTTATTACACGTTATAAGACGAGACTTTACCGCCTCAAGAAGCTCTTTGAGAAAACTAAGGCATAATTTTTATCCTATTTTAGTTATGACTGATATTGTGAAAAGAAAGTTCGTTGCCCTTCAAATTTCGGGCAAGAACGATATGACATGGGTGTTGGATGCTGAAATCCATTTAGATGCAATGGGTATTGGAGACGCCATTAAAGACAAAAATAAAACATCTACCCAGACTATGCTAAGGCCTTGATTTTCTTGCGTCATTACCTTTATGAAGGGTTGAAAATAGAATATCTCACAGTCAAAGATCCATTTGTTTTGTGGAATGGCTTAAAGGAAAGTTATGACAACTTAAAGTTGGTCACTCTTCCACAAGCACGTTATGATTGGGCTCATCTGAGGCTCCAAGACTTTAAGTATGTTTCTGATTATAATTTTGTGTTTTTCAGAATTACCTCTAAATTGAAACTATGTGGAGATAGTATCACTGACTATGATATGCTTGAAAAAACGTTCACAATGTTTCATGCCTCCAATATGGTCTTGCAACAGCAGTACCGAGAGAACTCTCCTTGTGGCTGAACGAAACAACAACTTGCTTTATGATAAAGCACGATAATCGACCCACTGGGTCTACACCATTGCCTGAAGTGGATGAGGTGTATTCCCACTATGCTAAGCGTGGAAAAGGCCACGGGCCCTTTTCGTGGTCGTGGTCGTGGTCGTGGTCGTGGCCGTGGCCGTGGTTGTAGCCGTGGACAAGGAAGAAATTTTCCTGGTGTTAATCATCCCCCAAAGAAAAATAACTACCAAAAGCGGAAAGGGAAAGATAAGAAGCCAAAGGCAAATGGTTCAGATACTGAATGTTGTCGTTGCGGTGGAAAAGGACATTGAGCAAATATTTGTCGTATACCAAGACATTTGGTTGAGTTTTATCAAGCATCTCTAAAGAATAAAGGCCTTGAAGCCAATTTTGTCTCTGACAATGATTTTGACATCACCCACTTGGATGTGGCAGACTTCTTTGAGCACCCTGATGAAAAAATAGACCACTTGATCGTTGATGGATCCGTAGTTAAAAATGATCGAGTAGTTTAATTTTTACTTTTCCTATCTGTAGTAGCTAGTGAATAAACATCATGTAATCATAATTTTTTTTTACATGAGTAGTAGTCATTAGTATCAATTAGTATTATTTATTTTATGAAATAATGTAAATTCGTTTTGATTAAATATAGTTCTTGACAAGAATGGTATTCATTTGTTTGAGGATATGGAAAACTGCCTTAAAATTGTCACTTGTTAATAGTTTATGCATCTGAATCACTTTGTTTGAGTTGCCATTAACCTCTATTCACCGAGTGTCAAGTGATTGAAAATACATTTTGTCTCAGTGTTATTAAAAGGGAAAATTTCACATTAGAATAACTGGGCTCCATACTTTTCAATTTTATAGCCCATATTTCAATTTACAACCAACTAGCCCATAAATAATAGGCTAAGATTCAACATCCAACTCCAATAGGTTCTCAAAATTACTATTTAATTTTTAAAAAAGATTCCTCAAGCTTTTAAATTACTTTTCGAATCAGTAATTGTGACTCAACTATTAATTCAACAAACCAACTTCATTTGGGTGGTGAAAATTAGATTTTTAACAAGCTTAAATACGTGGGTTTAAATTTCGAATTTGATTTTATGAAAAATTTGGAGTCGGTGTTATCTAGACTTGTTAGAAATAGTATAAGGAGGTTGTATATAAAATTTGAAGTCATTTAATGGAGATTTGGACTGGTTTTGAATAAGAATTGCAACTGAAAATCGTGGAAGAAGTTCGTCTACAGACGCTTGTATAAACGTGTATAAAAGTATATAACAGTGTATAAGGTGTGTTTCTACACTCATATACAATATTATACAAGATTATACATAATTATACAAAAAACTGACTTCGTCTTATTTCTTGCGTCTTTTCTGAAATTTAATTCAAATCTTGCTCAAATCTACTCCAAATCACTTCAAATTTAAATTTTGTACTCCTGTTGATATTTTCAATCAATTGGAATAATAACCAATCCAAACAACTAACAAATTCAAAACAACCCATTTTCAAAAGCAAAGCTTTGAATGATCTTCAATGGTGGACTTTTACTCTTCAATTTTCTTTCATTGCAAGCAGGTGACACAAGAGGAGAAGCAGAAAATACACGGTCCTTTGAAGCATATGTAAAAGATGTGAGAAGAAGAGAGAGTGAAAGCAATAGTTGTGAGAACAAAGAATTAACTCCATAGCTTTTAGAAGCAATTGTTGTAAAAACATATATTTTGAATTTGCAAGTGCTTTAAAAAAATATGTACAATGTGGGCTAGGTGGGGTAAAACTTAAAAACATGGGCCATTTTTTGTTATGGTGTGAAGTCATGTGTATTTTTTTGTAATTCTTTCTTATTAAAATAGCATAATTACGTGCCTTGTCTTAAGAACCTAGCTACGGAAAGTATTAAGCTAAAACGTTCTTGTTCCCCTAGTTCTTCCCTTCTATTTGTGTCATACTTAAACTTCTAAATATTCTGTGATCGAACGGCTATTTCCTCGTATTGGGAACAGATATGACTTAAGTCAAATTTCATATGTATTAATATGACTTAAGTTTTCCGTATATTTAAACCATATGGCAACCTAAAAATAACGCGTAATTGCATTATTTTGAACTACGTAATTGTTTGTAGAGTTTGCTCGAAATTGTATTAAATGTCAATATTGAGTTATTGATTTAACTTTGTTTCTTTTTTCTTTTTATCTAAAAATACTAATATTTATTTGTATATTTTTTTTGTATGTCAAACCATGTGAAGCAAATATGGATATCTCTCAAAGCAAACTTGAATCAAAGTTCAATTATAAAAATATTTATTTGGTTGATTCATGTACGACACATACAATATCGACGAGTAATTGATGGGATGACTAACGGGGTTGGGGTTATTAGTTTCATTG